TTTCCTTTGGGGAAAACCACATGCCCGTCCAATGGATGTGTAGTTTTAAGGAGGGCGGGATGGCTATTTCTAGGTGACTGTAGTTTAAATCATAACTCAGTGCAGCCATTGGCAACAAAACTGAATTCCAGACCTCACTCAGTGCCGTAGAATAGATAATCAGAATTTTTTCCCCACTCTTGTGAGAGAAGAAAAAATCAAAAATCGTGGAATTGTCCTGCCTTGTTGAGATCACGGCTGTAGCTTTTTGGATTCAGTAAGTGTCAAACTCACACAAACACAAAAACACACCCGTGCACACTCTAACTTTCCTTTCCCCTGGTTGAAAAGTGAAACTTTTCCAGCTCTTAATTTGACGATTTCACATAATGGAGGTTTTTTATTACGTACAAAATTTATTCTCAGACAGAAAGATCCCAGTGTTTGCTTTTTCTACAAGTTACAGGTAGTCCTTGACTTATGACCACTTGCTTAGCAGACCACTTGCTGGGGGGCTACTTACACATCACCTCTGCAGTTGCGTGACCACACTTTGGTGCTTGGAAACATGGGTGCGGTGGTTTTGGCAGTTTGCAATATCCCACAGACACACAACTGAATTTTAAAATGGCTTTGCCGAAAACTGGACTTAATTCGTTTTCAGCATAACTACACCCATAACAAACCATGGGTTCATTTAACGACCGCAGTTTACTTAACAACCTTGGCAGCCACTTTAAGACCACAGCATTCGCTTAACGACCAACACAAAAAGACTGTAAAATCACATGACCCTTTTTATGACCGTCACTACTTACAACTGCAGCTTCCATTAGTCGCATTACGACCACAACTGAGTCCCAAATTTCTGTTGCTAAGTGGGACAAGTGTTAAGTGAGTTTTGCCCCATTTTACGACCGTTCTTGCCTCAGTTGTTAAGTGAATCGCTGCAGCAGGTTAAGTTAGGAACACGGTTGTTAAGTGACTCTAGCTTCCCCTATTGACTTTTGCTTGTCAGAAGGGCGCAAAAGGGGATCACATGAACGCAGGACACTGTGACCGTCATAAATGTGAGTCAGTTCCTAACAGCCAGGGTTTTGATCACGTGATCATGGGGAAGCTGGAAAGGTTGTTTACTTATGAAAAATGGTCAAAAGTCACTTTTTTCAGTGCCATTTTAAACTCTGAACGGCTACTAAACAAACAAAGGGAAGAATTCACTTCCAAATAAAATTAAACTTTTCCGCTCATGCTCACACTTTGAAATAAACTTTTCAAAGCTTCCTTTTTTCCCCCCCCCCAACTTGGTCTGAATATTCTGATGAGTAATATTCTGGATTTTTTTTAATATAGAAGGCAGGCTTTGTACTATCCAGATAACAAATTCCCGCGTGTTTTAACTGCCTTTTCGCTGGCATGCCGTGCAATATTTTATTTCCTGGCTTACAACGGTCTCTCCTCAAGATGCACGACCACTTGTGAGCCCTTTGCAAAATAAATAACAATGGGGAGGAAAAAAACACCATGGCCCTATACAGGTAGTCCTCGACTTACAACCATTCATTTAGCCACCATTTGAAGTTACAAAGTGACTTATGACGAGTCTTTATATTTAGGATTATCAATGTGCCCCTGATCACATGATCAAAATTCAGGCCCTTGGCAATGTGTATTTGTGAAGGTTGCGATGTCCTGGCCTCTCACGATCACCACTTACGACCTTCTGACAAGCAAAGTCAACGGGAGAAGTCAGATTCCCTTAACAACTAGGTGATTCCTTTAACCATGATAAAAACAGGTCGTAAAATAATAAATAATATCTTGCTTGCTTAGAAATGGAAAATGTGGTCGTATGTCAAGCTGAGTCATTCTCCACTATTCCAGAAGGGAGGATCGTTGTCAGCCGTAAAGGAGAAGGTTCAAAATCTGGGGGAACTTGGTAATTATATTTATTTATTAAATGTATATGCTGTCCATCTTACTCCCAGGTGATTCTGCCTCTATGGGCTATATAACTGTATGGGTTGTCAGCTTGTGGAACAGGCTGCCACATGATGGATTGAGTGTTGGTTCCCTAGAGCAGGGGAAGGCAACCTTGGCTCTTTTATGACTCGTGGACTTCAACTCCCAGAATTCCTGAGCCAGTCACGCTGAGGGGAAAGGGAGGTTTCCAAGCTGAGCCATGGTGGCTGAGGAATTCTGGGAGCTGAAGTCCACTAGTCAGAAAGCGGCCTAGGCCAGAGGTAGGCAACCTTGGCCCTTTTATGATCCGTGGACTTCAACTCCCAGAATTCCTGAGACAGCATGGCTCAGCTTGGAAACCTCTCCCTTTCCCCTCAGCGTGGCTGGCTCAGGAATTCTGGGAGTTCAAGTCCACCAGTCATAAAAGAGCCAAGGTTGCCTACCTGTGGCCTAGGCCTAGGCCGCTTTCTGACTCGTGGACTTTAACTCCAGAATTCCTAGCCAGCATAGCTCAGCTTGGAAACCTCTCCCTTTCCCCTCAGCATGGCTGGCTCAGGAATTCTGGGAGTTGAAGTCCACGAGTCATAAAAGTTGCCGTAGTTCCCTGTCCTGAGGGATGAGGTTAGGACAGGGGTAGGCAACCTTGGCTCTTTTATGACTCGTGGACTTCAATTCCCAGAATTCCTGAGCCAGCATGGCTCAGCTTGTAAACCTCTCCCTTTCCCCTCAGCGTGGCTGGCTCAGGAATTCTGGGAGTTGAAGTCGAGTCATAAAAGAGCCAAAATTGCCTATCCCTTCTCTAGAGGATGGAACAGTCAATCTATCAGAAATTTACCCGGGGGGGGGGGGGGGAAGAGGTCACACTGGATGATCTCTAAGATCCCCTCCCAGTCTTTCAAACCAATACAGTCAACTTACAACTGTTCATTTAGTGACCGTTCAAAGTTACAACGGCACTGGGGGGAAAAAAGCGGCTTGACCAGTTTTCCACACTGCAATCATGGCACACTCCACTTCCTGCGGTCGCGTGATCAAAAATTGGGATGCTTGGCAACTGGTATGCGTGAGGGTTGCTCTGTCTCAGAGTTAGGGGGATCCCCGTTTTGCGACCTTCTGACAAGCAAAACTCAAGCCAGATCCACTTAACAAACATGTGACTAATTGAAGAACAGCAGTGATTCACTTAACAGCTGTGACAAGAAAGCTCCTTAAAAAACGGGGCAAAACTCACTTAGCGACCATCATGCTCAGCAGTGGAAAATTCTGGACTCAATTGAGGTCCTAAGTCGAGGACTATCTGTATATGGGCTGTCGGCTTGTGGAACAGGCTGCCACATGACGTCACTAAGCGCCGCTTCCTTCAAGGCTGCACCAGTCATCTGTCAGATGGTCCAAGTGGATTGCACTCAGAGCAGGGGCGAGGGGGGGTCAGACTGGATGACCTCTTAAGACCCCCCCTCCAAATCTTTCAAAGCAAAATTAACCCTACCTGACGGAACTCCATCCTTCCTTGCCAAAGACTACTGGATGGCGGCACCTTCAATCTCCCATCTTCCCAGGATGGCTCTAAGCCAGCTGCACCCACGTTGATCCTCTTTGAGACGGCCATAATTGTCAGATGAAAATGACGCAGCGGGACAGGACGGCAACGCCTCCAGCGGCCGTTTCCTTTTCTACCACAAAAATCCAGGGCAGACCGTGGGCCGGCCCCACGTGGCCTGCCAAGTTTCATTTGTTCTTCTCAAGCTGGTTTTGGTAAAACTTCAGTTTTACACTCCCTGGAGAAATTTCCAAGAGAGCTCCTGGGATCGTATTTGGAATAGGGCTAGGCCATCATTACCTTGGCTGTTGTTTATACTTTGTTCTGCAAATCTTTTTTTTTTTTTTAAGGTTGTAATGTCTCTCTTTTTTTTAAAGACTGTTTTAGTTGTTTGGCTGTTTTAGAATGGTAAGCCACCCAGAATCACTGGGTTGAAGCGGACGACTATAAAAATCCAATGGAAAAAATAAAATAAAATATAAAAGAAATAAATAAAAGAAAAAAAAAACAAAATAATGAAATGAAACAAAATAAATAAAAAACAGTGAATTGAAAATAAATACAATATAATAAATGATCATAAAACATAATCAAATAAAAAATAAAGTAAAAATAAATAAAATAAACGATCATAAAATGTAATAAAAAGAAAATAAATAAAATACCGTACAATAAAATAAAAATAGAACAAAATACAGTAAAATAAAATGTAAAAAATATAATACCGTACAATAAAATAAAAATAGAATAAAATACAGTAAAATAAAAGATAAAATATAATACCGTAGAATAAAATAAAAACAATAAAATAAGGTAAAATAAAAGATAAAATGTAATACTGTACAATGAAATAAAAATAAAATAAATAAAATAATAGGATAAAATAAAAATAGAACAAAACACAGTAAAAGATAAAATATACTGTATAATAAAATAAAAATAGAATAAAATGAAATACAGTAAAATAAAAGAATATAAAATAAAATATAGAAAGAAGTGCTTGATTGACCAGCTCTAATACCGGGAGGGGCAAAAACTTGCAGTTTGTGGAGTTGCAACTGTTTTAGCAATGCAAAGATACCAATTGTTTGAAGCACTCCAAACAATTTACATTTTAAAGACTTTGCTTACCTGGCAGTCGGGTCCACTGATTGCAACGGGATTTACTTATGAGTAGAGATGCTTTTGATTGCACAGTGAGACACGGAAAGGCTGGATCTACACCTACCTATCCGGACCTGAACTCTCGTTTGTTTAGGTGTAGTAATTTTGCACACCCAGCCCCCCATGTAGCTTTTAGCTAAAGAACACGCAGGTCCAGATGCACCCCAGACCCTGCGGTTTTAAAAGCCCCTCTGCACGATCAAGGGGGGGGAACCCAGGGGCCCTTCGCCACCCCCAGGAGCCGAGATCGCTCATTCCCACGTGCAAACACTTGACCCGGGAGTCAGCTAAACCGCATCCCGCAAAGCATTACGTGCTGGTGGCAGCTTTGGAGGACATGTAAAAGAATACTCACTGGGCCAAACGGATCCTTCTTTCTCCTCTTTCGCCCCAGATCCTCTTGCCAGATCCAAAGGTTGGCGCCTTTTTTTTTTTTTTTACAAAAAAGCAAAACTTAAACGAACAAAAAATTGCAATCGGTCCGTTCCAATCTTATCAATGCAAACTTCAAAGGGCCGAAGAGAATTTATTGGCACGAGAAAAGAGCCCGCGATCTCTAAATGCAATGATGTTTGCAAAGAAGCGGGGAAAGCTGCAGCCGCGCCAAAAAAAAAATAATCTGCTTTTTCTCTCTCTCTCTTTTTTTTTTTTAACAACTCCCGGCTTTGGAGTTTGGCGGGGAAATTCGCCCTGCGCCGTTCGGAGCCTCCTGATTGGTCGGCGGTGGCGGGAATCTGAGAAAAGAGGCGTGGCTTGAGGAGGAACGCCTTCCCCGTCCTGGTCTCCCTCCCGCTTCCCTACGGGTGTCTTGACTGCGCAGGCGCGAAGGTCTGCTTGATTTTATTTGAGACTGGAATAGAATAAAAGAGTTGTAGGGATCTTGGAGGTCATCTAGTCCAACCCCCTGCTCAGGCAGGAAGCCCTATACCATTTCAGTCAAATGACTCTCCAATCTCCTTAAAAACTTCCAGTGTTGGAGCATTCACAACTTCTGGAGGCAGGTTAATTGTTCTACAGTAACTGTAAGGAAATTTCTTCTAAGTTCTAGGTCGCTTCTCTCCTTGATTAGTTTTATTTATAAATAGTTTTATTTATTTTTGGAGTTGTAGCTTAGGGATTCAGTCAAAACCTTTGGACAGTCCTGCTCTGGCTTTGTCTTTTCATTCTGAAAAAAAAATCCTCGTTTCCTCCGGTGCCAACTCGTATGCTCAGAGGCCCTCTTGTTCTGGATACTTTGGAAAGCTGGAATAGAATAGAGTAGAATAGAGCTGGAAGGGACCTTGGAGGTCTTCCAGTCCAGCCCCCTTTTCAAGCAGGAGAAGTCTTAGCACTGTCATTGCCAAGCGTATCCCTGAGCATCGTATTCTCCTCTGCCTAGATAGAATGTTAAAAATTAATTAACAATATTTAATTAAAAATTAAAATCAAAGGCTACATTTTCCCAAGTATCTTGCACATGAGTTCCCATGATGGCCAGTCTGGAAATTATGGAATTTGCCATCTCACACAGTTGAGGAAGCCAGGTTGCAAAAAAAAAAATTGACTTGATATTGCTGGAAGTGTTATAATTTAGTTTAAGAACCAGAATTTAATCCATAGAACCTCCTTTACATATTCAGACTTTACAGTCAGCCAGCTCAGGTAAGAATTTTGTTTCTGCATTTACACAATACAGGGAAGTCTTTGACATAGAACAGGGGTGTTCAAACTTGGTTTTTTTTTATGACTTGTGAACTTACAACTCCCAGAATTCCTCAGCCAGCATGGGGGAACCATGGCCCCTTCATGACTTCCAGACTTCAACTCCCAGAATTCCTCAGCCAGCATGGGGGAACTATGGCCCCTTCATGATTTGTGGACTTCAACTCCCAGAATTCCTCAGCCAGCATGGGGGAACCATGGCCCCTTCATGATTTGTGGACTTCAACTCCCAGAATTCTTCAGCTAACATGGGGAAAACTATGGCCCCTTCATGACTTATGGACTTCAACTCCCAGAATTCCTCAGCCAGCATGGGGGAACTATGGCCCCCTCATGACTTGTGGACTTCAACTCCCAGAATTCTTCAGCTAACATGGGGAAAACTATGGCCCCTTCATGACTTATGGACTTCAACTCCCAGAATTCCTCAGCCAGCATGGGGGAACTATGGCCCCTTCATGATTTGTGGACTTCAACTCCCAGAATTCCTCAGCCAGCATGGGGGAACTATGGCCCCCTCATGACTTGTGGACTTCAACTCCCAGAATTCCTCAGCCAGCATGGGGGAACTATGGCCCCTCATGACTTGTGGACTTCAATTCCCAGAATTCCTCAGCCAGCGTGACTGGCTGAAGAATTCTGGGAGTTGAAGTACACAAGTCATAAAAGGGCCAAGTTTGAAGACCCCTGCATCTAGCTGGTCTTTTTGTTTCAGGAATCCAACCTGTTTGCAGGATGGCTAGGGAATTCTGGGAATTGAAATCCACATCTCTTCAAGCTGCCAAAAGCTGAGAAATACTGAATTAGGGATATTGTTCAAATACAGAAAGCGGGAGTTAATTTAGTAACCAATTAAATTAGTCACCGGGAAAGGGTGTTGCCTGAACAAGCAAGGATCTGAGGCATACAAACATACAAATACAGATGCTATTTTTTTTTTAATCCATGCCTTTTTAGGAGTGGCTAATGTTTGGTGTGGATATTGACTTGGACTTCAGTATAACGGTGTTTTGTTTTTTTGCTTGACATTGTGCCTGGAGTCCTTTGGAATTGGGATAAGTTATAAATATGAGGAAAGAATAAATAAAATAACAGAATAAGAGAGAATCAGAATTGGAAGGAACCTTGGAGGTCTTCTAGTCCAACCCCCTGCTCAAGCAAGAGACTTTACCCTATTTCAAACAAATGGCTGTTCAGTCTCTTCTTAAAAACTTCCAGTGTTGCAGCACCCACAACTTCTGGGGGCAACTTCTTTCACAGGTTAATTATTCTCATTTCACGATGTTTCTCCTTAGTTCCAGGTTGCCTTCTCTCCTTGGTTAGTTTCCATCCGTTGCCTTCAGGTGCTTTGGAGAACAGGTTGTCCGCCTCTTCTTTGAGGCAGCCCCTCAAATATTGGAAGACTGCTATCATGTCACCCCTGTCCTTCTTTTCATTAAACTAGACATACCCAAATCCTGCAACTGTTCTTCGCACGTTGTAGCCTCCATTCCCCTAACCCAGTGGTTCTCAACCTGTGGGTCGGGACCCCATTTGGGGTCGAACGACCATTTCACGGGGGTCGCCAAACAACGCAGTCTGCCATTTTTCCCCCTTTTTCTTAGCTGTGCTACTCCCTTTTATTCTATTGGCTTTTGAAAGCCAATAGAATAGACTCTCTTGAATAGAGTCTAATTCTATTGGCTTTCAATAGCCAATAGGAATTGTCCAGGCTGTCTCTGCCCTGCTGAGCCCGCCAAAAGTCCCATTCTGCAAACGGTGCTGCACCAGTTGAGTAGTCCTCGACTTACGACCGGTTGAGTAGTCCTCGACTTACGACCGGTTGGGGGGTTGCGGCATTAAAAAGGTTGAGAAACACTGCCCTCACCACTTTCGCTGCTCTTCTCTGCACTCAATTTCTAAGTCTCAGCATCTTTTTTATATTGTGGCGACCAAACTGGTTGCCATATTCCAATATTCCACTCTTACCAAGGCATTATAAAGGAGTCCTAACACTTCACGTGATCTTGATAACTTCCAGGTCTTGTCTGACCTTCCCAGTCTAGAATCTCTGAGTGGTCTCCTCTCCCAGCCCTAACAAACAAGGGAAGGTGTGTTCCTCTTTAGTTTTTTTTTTTTTTTTAACAAGTAAACACGGTCAGCTAGTTAAAAGCGAATCCACGTTTCCAGAAAGGAGGTGCATCAAAGTGCTGGAACATTCAGCTGGTGGGTCGGCAACGTTCCAGAACTGTGGTGCTCAACTCACCATTGGCATAAGCTAAAGCTAAGGTGGTCTTCCTGGAAGAGACCATCTCCACAAATATTTAGGGATTTCTCTGCCACCCAGACTGTCTCTTATCTGTACAGCAGCCAATTTCACTGCATCACGAGCTGATGTCACAAAGCTTCTTCATTCAAGCCTCATCCTCCCCAAGAGAAACCTTCTGGATCTTGAGGGATCCTAGAAAGGACCAGTTCCTGAGCTCGGAGCCCATCCATGTCGGTGGTGAAATCTATTGAGCTGGTGATACCCAAGGAAGTGTACGTGGCAGGCTCAACCGTGGCAGGGCAGCTGATTCTCAGTCTTCACAGCACGCTGGTGGACCCTCTGCTGAAGGTTGAGCTCATTGGGAGAGGCTACCTGGAGTGGACCGAAGAGGCCCACTTGGACAAGGACTATAGCCAGCGAGCCACCTGCGTTAACAAGGCGGACTACGTTCACAAGACGAAAACATTCAAGACTGAACGTGAGGCTGCTTAACTGGGATTACCACGAGGCAGTTAAGCAGAAAGGGGCTGGGGGTCTTCCTGGGGGTGGGAGGGAGGAGGAGGAGGACAGACTTATCATGGTTTTAACAAACCACAGCATTTCCCACCAAGGCTTCCAGATTTCAACTGCAGACATGAAGATGACCATTGTTGTTGTTGTTAATTGCGAAGTCGTGTCCGACCCATCGCGACCCCATGGACAATGTTCCTCCAGGTCTTCCTGTCCTCTACCATCTTCTGGAGTCCATTTAAGTTCACACCTACTGCTTCAGTGACTCCATCCAGCCATCTCATTCTCTGTCGTCCCCTTCTTCTATTGCCCTCAATCTTTCCCAGCATTAGGCCCTTCTCCAGTGAGTCCTTCCTTCTCATTAGGTGGCCAAAGTATTTGAGTTTCAACTTCAGGATCTGGCCTTCTAAAGAGCAGTCGGGGTTGATCTCCTCTAGGACTGACCGTTTTGATCACCTTGCAGTCCAGGGGACTCGCAGGAGTCTTCTCCAGCCCCAGAGTTCAAAGGCCTCAATTCTTTTGCACTCAGTCGTTCTTACGGTCCAACTTTCACAGTCATACATTGCAGCTGGGAAAACCATGGCCTTGACTATGCGCACTTTTGTTGGCAGGGTGATGTCTCTGCTTTTTACTATGCTGTCTAGATTTGCCATAGCTTTCCTCCCTAGGAGCAAGCGTCTTTTAATTTCTTGGCTGCAGTCCCCATCTGCGGTGATCTTGGAGCCCAGGAAGATAAAATCTGTCACTACCTCCAGATGACCATTAGATGGCAGCAAAGAGTTTGAACATCTCTTTGTCCCCACCTATTGAAGGCAGGTCTGTCAGCCTTTCACTCTCCAGCTTTGTGAACTCCAGTTCCCAGGATTCTCTGCAATGGCTCTCTTAGCTGGAGACTTCTGGGAGTTGAAGTCCGTTCCTATGGAAATCCCAAATTGGGAGAGGCCGTACCACATTTTGCATTTATTTCCCCATCCCTTCCTATCTAACGTCTCTCGGGAGCAGAAACTGAGATGCTCAGGCAGGTTTTAATCCTCCTGCTTTACCCCAAGCCCTGATTGCCATGCTCTAACTTATTGGTTGAGTTCCCACATCATGTCATGCCAGGAAAACTGTAGCTAGAGTCTCACGAAACAGTACAGGAACGTTTTTTACTTTTCAAAAGATAGGCTTAACTTCAAGAGTTGCAGACGTCTGAAGTTGAAATCCGAAGTTAGGCTTAAGATACAGGAGGATCTTCACAGACTTGAACCCTGGGCACTCTCTAACAAAATGAAATTCAATGGTGAAAAAAGTCAGGTTCTACATTTAAGCAAGAAAAACCAAATGTACGGGAATAATAGGGGGTACCTTGCTCAATAGTAGCAACTGTGAGAGGGATCGCAGAGTCCTAGTGGAGAATCCGTTAAACAGGAGCCAGCCGTGTGCTGCAGCTGCCAAAAAAGCCAACACAGTGCATTAACAGAGGGAGAGAATCAAGATCACGTGAAATGTTAATACCATTTTACAAGGCCTTGGTAAGGCCACACTTGGAATACTGCATCCAGTTTTGGTCGCCACAATGTAAAAAAGATGTTGAGACTTTAGAAAGAGTGCAGAGAAGACCAACAAAGATGATTAGGGGACTGGAGGCTAAAACATATAAGGAACATTCACCGCTTGTGGAGGCAGGTTGTTCCACTGGTTACTTGTTCTACCTGTCAGGAAGTTTCTCCTTAGTTCTAGGTTGCTTCTCTCCTTGGTTAGTTTCCATCCGTTGCTTCTTGTCCTGCCTTCAGGCGCTTTGGAAAATAGCTTGACTCCCTCTTCTTTGTGGCAGCCCCTGAGATATTGGAACACTGCTATCATGTCCCCCCTCGTCCTTCTCTTTGTTAAACTAGACATACCCAATTCCAGCAACCATTCCTTGTATGTTTTAGCCTCCAGCCCCCTGATCATCTTTGTTGCTCTTCTTTGTACTCTTTCTAGAGCCTCAACATCTTTTTTACATTGTGGTGACCAAAACTGGATGCAGTATTCCAAGTGTGGCCTTACCAAGGCCTTGTAAAGTGGTATTAACACTTCACGTGATCTTGATTCTATCCCTCTGTTAATGCAGCCTAGCACTGTGTTGGCCTTTTTGGCAGCTGCAGCACACGGCTGGCTCTTATTTAGGTGATTGTCCACTAGGACTCCGAGATCCCTCTCACAGTTACTACTATTGAGCAAGGTACCCCCTATACTATACCTGTACATTTGGTTTTTCTTGCCTAAATGTAGAACCTTACATTTTTCACCCTTGAATTTCATTTTGTTAGATAGCGCCCAGTGTTCAAGTCTGTCCAGATCCTCCTGTATCCTAAGCCTGTCTTCTGGAGTGTTGGCTATTCCTGGCAGCTTGGTGTCGTCTGCAAATGTAATGAGTTCCCCATCTATCCCCTCGTCCAAATCGTTGATGAAGATGTTGAAGAGCACTGAGCCCAGAACAGAGCCCTGGGGCAGCCCACTACACACAAAAGCCTTAGGGCCCCACTCATACTAGAGGGGATACATGCATGCCAGCCTGCCACTGACATAGCCTGGTTGCCAATACGCCACAGCCTGGTAATGGGCTACAGCCCACAGGTTGGTGACCCCAGATCTAATCCAACCCTTTGCTCAGCTAGGGGACCCTCTACCATTTCAGACAAGTGGCTGTTCAGTCTCTTCTTAAAAACCTCCAGTGTTGGAACATTCACCCCTTCTGGAGGCAGGTTGGTCTTGATCACGGGTCTTCAGACTTGTACCTTTGATGACTTGTGGACTTCAACTCCCAGAATTCCTCAGCCAGCGTGCCTGGCTGAGGAATTCTGGGAGTTGAAGTCCACAAGTCATCAAAGGGACAAGTTTGAAGACCCCGGGTCTTCATCCTTTGCCCCTGAGATCTGCCCTGCTCCTGAGCCCCCACGCAAGTAGCCATCTCCTGCCCCACACGGCTCAAATCTGGGGGGGGACTACGAGACCAGAACCCGAGTCTCCCCCCCCCACCCAGCCCAACGCCATTCCACCACCACAGTGCCCCAAAACTACTGGTGATCCTCGACTTACGACCACAATTGAGCTCCAAATTTCCGTTGCTGAGCAAGGCCATTGTTTAATGAGTTTTGCCCCCGTTGACAACCTTTTTTTTTTCGGGCCACCGTTGCTAAGCGAACCACTGCATTTCTGAAGTTAGTCACACAGTTGTTAAGTGAATCTGGCTTCCCCTATTGACTTGTCAGAAGGTCGCAAAAGGTGACCCCGTCATAAATGCCTGCCAGTTGCCAAGTATCCAGATTTTGGTCACGTGACCACGTGCTGCGACGGTCGTAAGTGTGAAAAACGGCCGTAGGTCACTTTTTCCATGCCGTTGTAACTTCTGATGCTCATTAACACAACAGCCGTAAGTTGAGGATGACCCATACCTGAAATTGTGTTACGCAGTTAGTCCTTGACACACGGCCACAATCGGGCCCCAACATTCCCGTTGCTAAGCAAGACATTTCTTAAGTGATTCCCCTCCATTCTACGACCTTCCTTGCCTCGGTGGCTAAACGAATCCCTGCAAGTCATTAAGTGAGTAACCTGGTTGTTCTGGGAATCTGGCTTCCTTGACTCTGCTTGTCGGAAGGTCGCAAAAGGAGGATCACGTGACCCCCCCGGGGACACACAGCGACCGTCGTAAATACGAACCACTCGCCAAGCAGCTGATTTTTTTTTAATTTTTTTTTATTGATTTTCTAGTTTTACACTTAAATATTTGAAAAGCAACATGGCGGCTGAGCCAATCAACAATTCAATAGCATACAAATGTCTTTAGTACAGATCTCAAACCATGACATCAAATATTTCCTCTCTTTTCCCACAGTACTTACTTCTCATATTTAAATTAATACAGTTCTTAAATAAAAATAACTTTCTTACATTTATCAATAATTTTTAGTCTATACCAGGGGTAATCAGCCTTGGCTCTTTTATGACTCGTGGACTTCAACTCCCAGAATTCCTGAGCCAGCCATGCTGAGGGGAAAGGGAGAGGTTTCCAAGCTGAGCCATGCTGGCTCAGGAATTCTGGGAGTTGAAGTCCACGAGTCATAAAAGAGCCAAGGTTGCCTACCCCGGTCTATACACATCCCAGTTATTTTAACGTTCAAACCTTTTAGACCAGTGGTTCTCAACCTTTTTAATGCCGCGACCCCCCAACCGGTCGTAAGTCGAGGACTACTCAACCGGTCGTAAGTCGAGGACTACTCAACTGGTGCAGCACCGTTTGCAGAATGGGACTTTTGGCGGGCTCAGCAGGGCAGAGACAGCCTGGACAATTCCTATTGGCTTTTGAAAGCCAATAGAATTAGACTCTATTCAAGAGAGTCTATTCTATTGGCTTTGAAAAGCCAATAGAATAAAAGGGAGTAGCACAGCTAAGGAAAAGGGGGAAAAAATGGTGGACTGCGTTGTTTGGCAACCCCCGTGAAATGGTCGTTGGACCCCAAATGGGGTCCCGACCCACAGGTTGAGAACCACTGTTTTAGACAATTGATGTCCTAGTTAGTTTTTCCCAATTTTTAGTTTCCCACATATTCAGATGTAACGCTTAATATTTATAAATTCCAAATTTTAAATAATCCCAATTCCCTTTATCACCAATTCATCACAAGAGCTAATGTTCAGGATACACGTCTTATCTGTTTGAATCCTTACCGCCTTACATCAACGAATGAATAATACAATATAACGTTCTTATTTTCTGCTAATTTCCAAATATCTTAAATTTAATAACCAAAATTTCTCTTATTTCAACATTTAATACTTCCTCTCTTTTTCTCAGCTGAATTTTGATCATGTGACTGCAGGGAATGCTGCAACGGTCGTAAGTGTGAAAAACGGCCATATGTCACATTTTTCAATGCCGATGTAATTTCGAATGAACAAATGTTCGAGAACTACTTGTACACAAAAGTGTGTTATATATGCCCACGCATATATAACACACCTGCCCCACTGTCTTTAATCTTTCCCTACATCTCCTCCACCCCCCCATTCATGAGAAATAAATCCTAATGTTTCTTATCTCCACCATTATATAATTTCCTGTTGTTTGGGACCCTAAGGAGGTATTAGAATAATTATATACCTCCTGCTGCTACATAAACGTGGCTGATGTGTCTTTTTCTCTGGGGTGGTTCCCCCTGATGCAATCTTCCCCGTGGCCTGCAATTTATTAAAATATATTTACCTTCTTCTCCTGCCAATATTTGGAAATGTTGTAGAAGATTAGCTCAGCTTTCTCTCGCAAGGTGCCTCCAGATATACCCTCGTTCCTTTCTCTTAATCTCCCTAATCCTAGTTTGGAATTTTAAGACCTCACCTACGGAAGAGGGATTTTTTTTTTTAATAAGTCCCTTTGATTTCACCTTCTTTTTTAAAAAAAATCTGGTTTTTGTGATTAATGCGATGAAACGTGTCATTCCGGCTTCGTTTGAATATTGCACCTCACCTAAGACAAATCTTTCGGGAAGACAAAGGCGCTCCTCGGAAGTGGCTGGAAAATTGATGGGATTAGCAGAGAGGGCTAAATTGACCATTTTGATAAAAGAAAAGAAGTACTTTGGTTTCTGCTTGGAAACCGCTTCTGGACTTTGTGCTTGAGATGGACAAAAAAAAAGTGACACTCTGATTTTGGGTTTTACTGATTCGATGGATTTGTTAATATAGAAATATAAACTAAAACATGTGAAGAATGGCTAGTCTAAAGAAAAGAAGAAATAGGAAAGGCATGATAGCCGTATTCCAGTATCTGGGGGGCTGCCACAAAGACGAGGGGGTCAAATTATTCTGCAAAGCACCAAAGGGAAGGACGAGAAACAATGGTTGGAAACTGGTCAAGGAGAGAAGCAACCTGGAATTAAGGAGAAACTTCCTGACAGTGAGGACAATTAACCAGTGGAACAAGTTGTCTCCAGAAATTGTGGGCACTCCATCACTGGAGGTTTTTAAGAAGTGGCTAGACAGTCACTTGTCTGAGATGGTATAGGGCTGGGGTGGGCAACCTTGGCTCTTTTATGACTCGTGGACTTCAACTCCCAGAATTCCTGAGCCAGCCACGCTGAGGGGAAAGGGAGAGGTTTCCAAGCTGAGCCATGCTGGCTGAGGGATTCTGGGAGTTGAAGTCCTCAAGTCGTAAAAGAGCCAAGGTTGCTTACCCCTGGTATAGGGTCTCCTGCTTGAGCAGGGGGCTGGACTAGAAGACCTCCAAGGTCCCTTCCAGTTCTATTCTATTCTATTCTATTCTATTCTATTCTCTATTCTGTTCTGTTCTATTCTATTCTCTATTCTATTCTATATTCTATATTCTATTCTATTTTAATCTGTTCTGTTTTCTATTCTATTCTGTTCTATATTCTATTCTATTCTATATGGCTAGTTCATACTACTATAGAAATGTGAAAAGTTGAGATTATTTTTGCTTTGCTCTTGATTTGCAGATAACTGGCTGGGCCCGGGTGTGCACAAATTCGATTTTGACTTCGTCTTACCTCCGAGGATCCCATCAACTTTCACCAGCCGTGTGGGGAAAATTAGCTACTTCCTCCAAGCAATCTGTGCCACGCGAGAACTTATCCTTCGCAAGCAGAAAAAGTATATTTTGGTTCAAGGGACTTCCCTGTACAGCCAGGACACCGTGCAGTCCAAGGTATAGGGAGTCCTCGATTTACAACCGTTCATTTACAACCGTTACAATGCCACTGAAACAAGTGACTGATGGCCCCTTTTCACACTTACGACCCTTGCCGCCTCACCAGGGTGATCAAAATTCAGACGCTGGGCCACCGACTTGTATTTATGACGGTCGCTATATCCCGGGGGGAGCACGCAATCCTCTTTTGCGGCCCTCTGACGAACCAAGTTCACAGGGGAAGCCGGATTCTCTTCACAACGGTGTTACTAATTTAACAACTGCAGCAATTCATTTAACGACGGTGGCAAGAAAGGTCGTAAAAGGGGGCAAAAAAATCAGTTTACAAATGTCTCGCTTAGCAACGGAAATTTTGGGCTCGCTTCTGGGCGTAAGGTATAATTTAAAGTAGAACGGCCTTCTTTGAATTTGGGGCCCCCAGATATAGAGATAGTCCTCAATTTACAATAAGAATGGAGACCCGAATTTCCATTGCTAAGCCAGGCCTGGTTTTACAACCTTTTTGATATGGTTGTTAAGCGAATCACTGCAGTTGTTAAGTAAATTACATGGTCATTAAGCGAATCCAGCTTTCCCCGTTTGACTTTGCTTGTCAGAAGCCAACTGCCAAGGGTCGCAAACGGTGATCACATATACCCATGAGACACAGCCACTGTAATAAGTACATGCCTAAGGCGGGACTAGAACTCACCGTCTCCTGGGGATTGGCCCAAAGTCACCCAGCCGGCTTTCATATCTAAGGCGGGACTAGAACTCACCGTCTCCTGGGGATTGGCCCAAAGTCACCCAGCCGGCTTTGATGCCTAATAGCTTTGCCTCCATAAATCATGGGCGCTCCATCACTGGAGGTTTTTAAGAAGAGGCTAGTGCACAGGTCGGCAACCTGTGGCTCCGGAGCCGCATGCGGCTCTTTGAGCCTTCCCCTGTGGCTCCCAGCCTCCTCTGCCTTTGCAGGAGAGAGACAGAGACAGAGAGAAGCAATTGCGCTTCCCTTCTCTCTCTCTCTCTCTCTCTCTCTCTCTCTCTCTCTGTGTGTGTGTGTGGTTTTGTGTAAAAGAGAGTGCACTCACAGTGTTCTCCGAGGAGCTGAAAAGCTGACTGGGCGGAGCTCCTCCCTTTGCTGCGTCTCTGCAGGAAGCAGGAAGGGCAGGAGAGAGCTAGCTAGCCCAGCTAGGCTGACTCAGGAATTCTGGGAGTTGAAGTCCATGAGTCATAAAAGAGACGAGGTTGCCTACCCCTCAGCTTGTTGGACAACAGCTTGAAGCTTGCCAGGTGAGCAGCAGATAGGAGGGGGGGGAGAAAGAGAGAGAGGGAGGGGGAGAGAGAGAGAGAGAGAGAAAGAGAAAGAAAGAAAGAAAGAAAGAAAGAAAGAAAGAAAGAAAGAAAGAAAGAAAGAAAGAAAGAAAGAAAGAAAGAAAGAGAGTGGGGGAAGAGGCGTGGCAGACCAAGGGCAGATAGAGAGGGAGGGAGAGACAGAGAGACAGAGAGAGAGAGAGATCCTTTTTTTACCTCTGTGTGTATGTGTGTGTATATATATATATATGTGTGTGTGTGTGTGTACACACACACACACACACACACACACACACACACAGAGAGGTAAAAAAGGGATATATGCAGTGTTATCTTCATTTTAGATATCAAAAGGGTTTTGCGGCTCCTGGTGTTTTGTTTTTGGTGGGAAATGGGTCCAAGTGGCTCTTTGAGTGTTTTGGGTTGCCTACCCCTGGTCTAGCTAGACAGTAACTTGTCTGAGATGGTAGAGGGCCTCCTGCTTCAGTAGGGGGTTCAACTACAAGACCTCCAAGGTCCCTTCCAACTCTCCGTTATCCCATTCACCTTATTCTTACCCAGTTCTCGTCAGCTTCCTTCAACAGTGTCTTCCCTCCTTCCCATCTTCCAGTACCCGTTGGTGGTGGAAGTTCAGAAGATCCTGGCTTACAACTGTTGTCTCAGGAGCGCCCCCATCACCCTGCGCATGTCGCTGAGCAAGAGCCTCTACCTTCCGGGCGACAACATCAGCTTCACCACCGAAATCACCAACCCGACGGGCAAGTCCATCCGGAAGGTGGTTTTCACCCTCCACTCGGTGGTCCTCTACAAAGCCTTCAACTTCCGAGCGGAGCCCCGGACATTAGAGCAGCACGAAGAAATGATGCGACTGGAGTCGAACATGGAGCAAGGCCCTTGCGAGTTCACCAAGATTCACAGCACCCTCTGCTTGCCCAAAGTGATGCCCGTCAGCAGCACCCAAAAATCCGACGACATCATGGAGATCGGCTACGAGCTGACGGGGACGGTCCACTTCCCCTGGTGCCTCAACAGGGTGGTGGCCAAGATCCCCGTCGTGGTCAGAAACGAAGCCACGGAGCTGCCAGAGTAAATGAGGGAAGGCTGTGCCCCAAACCCTCTGCCATTTTTGTCCAAATAGGTGGATATAGTTTTCAAAATGGATCCCGTTCTCCATCCCCGTCTCCTGACTCATTAAATGCTCGCGCTACGTTTCTGTTTCCGAGACTCCCTGTTCAATTGGTTGGGTTTTACAAGTCGTCCTCAACTTACCACCATCATGGAACCCAGCCTGTTACGGTCGTAGGTCACAAAGGTCATAAAGGGGGTCATCATGTGATCAATCTGATCTGACAGCTTTGTTGCAGAGTGGTCGTTAAGGGAGTCACCATGTCTACAGTCGTTATGTGGAAGCTGTTTATTGCCATGCAGCATTTGTGTTGGATGCAAGAACGACAGGTCATCCTCAATTTACAACCATTCATTTAATGGCCGCTCGACACTAAACGAAAAAAGTGACTTACGACCGTTTTTCACACTTCCGACCACTGCAGTGTCCCCAGGGTCAGGTGATCAATATTCAGATCTTTGGCAACTGATTCATATTTACAATGGTCGCAGTGTCCTGGGGCGTCATGGGATCCCCTTTTGAGACCTTCTAACAAGCAAAGTTGATGGGGGAAGCCTGATCCGCTTAGCAACCGTGTTGTTAACAACAGCAATGATTCACACAACAACTGTGGTAGGAAAGCTGGTAAAATGGGGCAAAATGCACTTAGCAACTGTCTCACTTAGCAAAAAGTGTCGGGCTCAATTGAGGTCGTAAGTGTCAACGCTGCTAACATTGGATGTTTTTGCTTTGGAGATGTAACCATTTTCTTCTTTTTGCTTTAGATGATGCTGGGGAGGGGGGAATGTGAACGAGAGTCCAGCTAGACCAGGGGTAGGCAACCTTGGCTCTTTTATGACTCGTAGACTTCAACTTCCAGAATTCCTGAGCCAGCATGGCTCAGCTTGGAAACCTCTCCCTTTCCCCTCAGCATGGCTGGCTCAGGAATTCTGGGAGTTGAAGTCCACTAGTCATAAAAGAGCCAAGGTTGCCTAACCCTGAGCTAGACACAACACTAAACTTAGCGTGAGAATCAAGGTTGTTGAAATAAGAGATGATACGAATTGGCAGACTGGAGAGCTGGAGGGAAAGCCTGCGTTTCAAGTGAATTGGGGAATGTGATTTATGACAGTTAATTGGAGGAGGGAATTGTGATTTGAAACTATGTGCTCAAGGGGGGGGGGAATTCAGGTTTTGGCTTCGATTATGTTAGTGCCGATGTTATGCTTCTTGAATAAAGATTCTTTAAGGCAGTGGTTCTCAACCTTTTTATACCGGCGACCCCGGTCATAAGGATGCGCCGCCGCCCCCATGCGCGGCGTGCATGTGCGGCGCCCCCATGTGCACCACGCATGCACGGCGCCGGCGCACATGCGCAGTGCCGCCAGCTGAGGGAAAAAATGGCGGATCGCGTTGTTTGGCAACCCCCGTGAAATGGTCGTTCGACCCCAAATGGGGTCACGACCCACAGGTTGAGAACCACTGCTTTAAGGGAAACAATGCCTTGAAATTCTTTGAAGCGTTTCATCTGTCAGAACCACGACACCGAGGGCTGTTTGTCAGTGTCAATTTTGGGCAAAAATGGCATAAGGAGACCACGATCGTGGGATGCTGCAAATGGCTGTAAGATGGAGGCCAGTCAGCAACTGGCCAAAATATAGTCCCGTGGTTGTGGGGGAGCTTGGACAATGGATCCAGGTCCTAAGTACTTTTTTTTGGGGGGGTGATCCATTGTACTGTCTAACCATCACTAAGTCATAGGTTGAGGACCTACCTTTATGGAATTTCCAATCTCCTTTTTAAAAAAAAAATGTAAGTCCTTAACGACCCCAATTCAGCCCAAAATTTCCACTGCTAAGAGAGACGTTTAAATTGAAAAAAAAAATTTCCCCATTTTACGACCTTTTTCGCCACAGTTGCGAAGGGAATCGCTGCTGTTGTTAAGTGAGCAACATGGCTGTGAAGTGAATTTGGCTTCTCCGTGGAGTTTGCTTGTCAGGAGGTCACCAAAGGGGATCACGTGACCCCCCCCCCGGGAGGCCGCAACCGTCATAAATGTGAGCTGATTGCCCGGTGTCTGAATTCTGATCACGTGACCGTGGGGAGGATGCGACGGTCGTAAGTGTGCGAAAAAGGTCGTCAATCACTTTTTTCAGTGCTGTTACAACTTCGGTCACTAAACAAACTGTTGTAAGTCGAGGACTCCCTATAGTTTGGATTGCACTGTGTTCTCACTGTACAGCAAAGTCCCTTGAACCAAAGATATACTTTGGTTTGGTCACTAAAGAAACTGTTATAAATTGAGGACTATCTATTTCTCTTGCTCAAGCAGGGGGCTGGACTAGAAGACCTCCAAGGTCCCTTCCAGCTTCTATTCTATTCTATTCTATTCTATTCTATATTCTATATCAGCGGTTCTCAACCTATGGGTCGCGACCCCATTTGGGGTCGATCGACCATTTTACGAGGGTCGCCAAAGAAGGCGATCCGCCATTTTCCCCCCTCAGGGGGCGCCGCCGCGCATGCGCAGCACGTTTGTGTGACGGGGGTCGCCGTCACACAAACTTTGAGAACCACTGTTCTATATGCTATATTCTATTCTATTCTATTCTATTCTATTCTATTCTATCCTATAATTCTATTCTATTCTGTTCTGTTCTATTCTATTCTGTTCTATTCTATTCTATTCTATTCTATTTTCTGTTCTGTTCTGTTCTATTCTATATTCTATTCTATTCTATTCTCAATAAAGATTCTATTCTGTTCTATTCTATTCTATTCTGTTCTTTCTATTCTATTCTATTCTATTCTATATTCTATATTCTATATTCTATTCTATTCTCTATTCTATTTTATTCTATTCTATATTCTATTCTATTCTATTCTATTCTATATTCTATTCTATTCTATTCTATTCTATTCTATTTTCTATTCTATTCTATCCTATAATTCTTTTCTATTCTGTTCTATTCTATTCTGTTCTATTCTCAATAAAGATTCTATTCTGTTCTATTTTCTGTTCTGTTCTGTTCTATTCTATATTCTATTCTGTTCTCAATAAAGATTCTATTCTATTATATTCCATTTTCTATTCTATCCTATCCTATCCTATCCTATCCTATACTATAGTATACTATACTATAATTCTATTCTATTCTGTTCTGTACTGTTCTGTTCTATTCTATATTCTATTTTATTCTCAATAAAGATTCTATTCTATTCTATTCTATTCTATTCCATTCCATTCCATTCTCGTGCATTTTTAATCCAGAGCCATACTTTTCAACTGTCTGAAGATGTTCGGGCTTCTTCAAGTTCCTGAGGTTAAGAAACAGGATCTCCCTGTTGATTCCTAGCAGGACCAGATTCCCTCTGACCTACTTCCAAGACCTGCAACATCTCTGTGTAGGCTTGACATGTCAAGTTGCTCTACCTGTGTTTTCACCACCTCCACCCCTGCACTGATCCCTCATTGGCCAAAACCAGAGGAAGGTGACTCCTTGGCCTGCCTCAGTTTCAACCTACTTAAAAATTCCCCGTGTGTAAAAAAGCCACATTCGGCCAGGAGTTTGTCTACAGCCATCTGGAAGGACCATCATCCGATCACAAGACCAGGTAATTGAATGCGACGGATTGCGTTGATTCCGGCCTTTGTGTGGTCCTCAGGTTTCGGCAACGATGGGCTACTAGAGTCCCCCAAGTGGTTTGGACACAACGGAGAGCCTTGAGCAAATCAGACTGAATGAGATAGATGCCACCACGTGCAGAAAAGGGGAGCTTACAAGGGCTTGTAGACCACGACTGAAGATCTCCAGATCTTGGCTTCTTCTCGAATTATTTAACCTCAGAGGTTAAATAGCATTTTGAGGAATGTAGCTGTGATGCTTGAATTCAGATCCGGAGCTCAGATGCCTGGATTCTGCAGCCTGGAAATCCCCTAAAGCAGTGGTTCTCAACCTTTTTAATGCCGCAACCGCCAACCGGTCGTAAGTCGAGGACTACTCAACCGGTCATAAGTCGAGGACTACTACACTGGTGCAGCACCATTTGCAGAATGGGACTTTTAGCGGGCTCAGCAGGGCAGAGACAGCTGGACAATTCCTATTGGCTTTTGAAAGCCAATAGAATTAGACTCTATTCAAGAGAGTCTATTCTATTGGCTTTCAAAAGCCAATAGAATAAAAGGGAGTAGCACAGCTAAGGAAAAGGGGAAAAAAATGGCGGACTGCGTTGTTTGGCGACTCCCGTGAAATGGTCGTTCGACCCCAAATGGGGTCCCGACCCACAGGTTGAGAACCACTGCCCTAAAGTCTTGTTTGTATTTTTCTTTTTTTAATTGATAAAAATCTATGCAGGTGTTCCTCATCTTATGGCCACAGCTTCTATTGCTCAGTGAGAAATTTCTTAAATGCGTTTTACGACTTTTCTTGCCACCCGTTCTTAAGTGAATGGCTGCGGCTGATAAGACGGTAATCCGGTTGTTAAGTGAATCTGGCTTCCCCGTGGACTTTGCTTATCAGGGGTTCGCAAAAGTGGAATCGCGCGACCCTGGGGATCACATGGCCGTCATAAAGATGAGCACCTGAATTTAGATCCCGGGACCGTAGGGATGCTGCGAGCGTGAAAAATGGTCCTGTCGCCTTTTTCAGTGATGTAACTTTGAATGGTTACTAAGTGAAGTGTTGTAAGTTGAGGACTGTCTGTATTTTAAAGACTTAAATCAGGGGTCCTCAAACATGGCCACTTTAAGACTTGTGGACTTCAATTCCCAGGATTCCCCAGCCAGCCATGGCTGGCTGGGGAATCCTGGGAATTGAAGTCCACAAGTCTTAAAGTGGCCATGTTTGAGGACCCCTGACTTAAATGGACTGTGACTTCTGCTTTTTTCTCCTCCTTGAGTAGACTTCACCAAAGTGGTCAGGGCTGACCTCCAAGGATAGGACTAAGGGCAGTGCTCAACTTGCAACTATTCGCTTAGTGACCGTTCAAAGTTACAACGGCACTGGAAAAAGCGCCGTAAAACACTGTCCTCACACCACTGTCACAGCATACCCAAAGTCACGGGAATCAATATTTGGGCACCTGTCAATTACGATGGTTGCAAAATCCCCAGATCCTGTGATCACCGTTCGCATCCTTCCCAGCAGACCTCCGAGAAACACAGTCAGGGGGAGTAGCCGGATTCGTTTAATGACTGCGTGATTCACTTAACAACGGCTGAAATTTACATCACAGCTGTGGCAAAAAAAAAAAAAAAGATTGTAAAATCGGGCAGAATTCACTTAACATCTGCCTTGGTTAACCGTGAAAATTCTGGTCCCAATTTTATTTTAAGTCGAGAACTAGCTGTATCTCGGTTGAAGTAGATCAAAATTTGATATGCAGATAAGTCCTTGACTTCTGATCAGCAATCCAGCCCAAAATTTCTGTTGCTAAGCACAACAGTTATTAAGCGAGTTTTGCCCCTTTTTACGACATTTCTTGCGACCATTCTTAAGTGAATCACCACAGTTGTTAAATTAGTAACATGGCTGTTAAGTGAATTTGGCTTCCCCCACTGGCTTTGCTTGTCAGAAGATTGCGTGATCCCGGGACACTGGAACCCATCATAAATACACGCCCGTTGTTGGCGGGCATGCCCTAAAGCAGTGTTTCCCAAACTTGACAATTTTAAGGCATGTGGACTTCAACTCCCAGAATTCCACAGCCAGCATTGCTGGGAGTTGAAGTCCACATGCCTTAAAATTGTCAAGTTTGGGAAACTGCCCTAAAGCAAAAAGATTTGGGGTCAAAATACATTTATGGTTGGAGAAAATGACTAAAAAACAAATAGACTTTAAACCAGAATTATTTTTGTTAGGAATAATAGGAGCTAACGGTGAGAAAGATTGCAGATATTTAACACTACACATATTAATGGCAGCAAGAATTGTATTTGCCCAACATTGGAGAAATGAAAACTTGCCAGCTGAAGAAGTACTGATTAAGAAAATTCTAGAGTGGGCAGAAATGGATAGATTGACTTTAAAGAGAAAAGAGAAAGAAGACTCGGTGTACTTTAGAACATGGGATAATTTCTATCCATGGCTAGAAAGATGAATTAGAGAGAACGGAATGTGCTGTGTTATTTTGAACATATATTAGCAAGAAGAAGGCTATGGAGTGATTAATTAACATATTGTTTATGATAATTAATTATTATCTATTATTGTTTGTTAAACAGATGAACCCAGACATTATGCTGTTTGCTAAATATTGAGAATGTTATTTGGAAAAACCCCAACCCCAATCCTAACACTAATTCCAACCTCAACCCCGACCCCACTTTATTCCTAACCCTATAAAAACTAATAAAATCCATACAATAAATACATAAATACACACCCGTTGCGAAGTGTCTAGTTTTGATCGTGTGACCGCGGGAATGCTGCAACTGTCGTAAGTGTGACAAACGATCACAAGTCACTTGCTTCAGTGCCGTTGTAACTTCAAACGGTCACTAAATGAATGATTGCAAATCAATGACTATCTAGACCAGGGGTGTGAAACTTGCCGGCCCGCAGGCTGAATGCGTCATGGGAAAACCACGCCCACCTCATTGCCAGCGAAGGAAATAAAGTCGCAATACGTTATTGCCAGCCTGACACCTCTGATCTAGACTTAATAGAAACAAATCAATAGCCCAGCCCACCTCACAAGGTTGTTGTTGCGAAAATAGGAGGAGGAATGTTTGTTGGTTTTTTTCGCTGCCTTGAGTTATTTGTAAAAGTATAAAGGTGGATGAGAGAGAGAGAGAGAGAGAGAGAGAGAGAGGGATTCAAATATGTGAACAACTGGTTCTCTGTGTGGATGCCGCTTCCGGAAGTCCGTTCTGGGCCTGGGCAACAAAAAATTAGCTACCGGTTCTATCTATCTATCTATCTATCTATCTATCTATCTATCTATCTATCTATCTATCTATCTATCTATCTAGCTAGCTAGCTAGCTAGCTAGCTAGCTAGCTAGATAGATAGCTAGATAGATAGCTAGATAGCTAGATATTGCTAGCTTTTTTCATTTTTTATTTGACTTGGATGACATACGCAACGGGCTTTTTAGAAAATGACTCAGCTGCAAGAGACCAACATACAGGAGAGCTGCAAACTTTCGCAACTGATGTGTGTTTGTTGTGTCAAATGCACTTGCTGGGCCTCCAGGAGTGCAAAGGTCTTTGCTCTGATTCAGCAACTTTTCCTTTCAAAAAATCTATAGTTGGAACAGCAATGTGGCACCTGCCTAGGGATAATCTACCTCGGATTATGAATTGCAGAAGATAATTAGCCCAGGAAGTTCACGTTTCCCCTCCCAGCTTCTTTGAGGGACGTCTCCACCTGGTTAGCTAAGAAGGAGTCTAGGAGGACCATGGTTTTTTGCTGAAAATGTAAAGCACACAAGTTGAGCGTTACAGGATAAAATCCTCCATGTGTAGGTGCATTCTACCTTCAGTGACTACCTGCTAGGGGTAAGCAACCTCAGAATGCTTCCGCTGGATTTTGCAGATCAGATAATACAGTTTGGGCGTGCGAGAATGTTTTGTACCAAGTAATCTGTCGCAAGTAATCTGGAATTTGTTATGAAGTAACTCGTTTTTCCAAACATCCGCCCCCATTTTTTGTTGTGTTAAGCAACTTCACATTCCAGCACGCAAGGTTGCATAGGGCCTTCTTGTGACAACCTCCGTTGCACCATCCCTTCCTTCCATGATCGTCTTAGCCCAGGGAGAGAGAAGAAAGAAAGATGTCTTCAGAAGAAAGGTTGTAAAATGGAGCGAAACTCACTGAGCAAACGTCTCACTTAGCAACGTAAATTTTGGGGCTCAGTTGTGGTCATAAGTCAAGGACTGCCTGTATTCAGATTTGACTTTGCTTACACTTTAACCCTTTGGCTTTAGTAAAAGCAACGGTGGGATTCAAACGGTTCTCTCATGGATGCAGGCCTGGGCCTCTGAGGCCTAGAATGGACTTCCGGAAGTGACATCCATGCACTTCCTGTGGGCTGTTCTAGGCCTGAGAGGCCTCCTCCAGGCCTAGAATGGACTTCCAGAAGTGACATCCATGCACTTCCTGTGGGCTGTTCTAGGCCTGGGAGGCCTCCTCCAGGCCTAGAATGGACTTCCAGAAGTGACATCCACACACTTCCTGTGGGCTGTTCTAGGCCTGGGAGGCCTCCTCCAGGACTAGAATGGACTTCCAGAAGTGACATCCACGCACTTCCTGTGGGCTGTTCTAGGCCTGGGAGGCCTCCTCCAGGCCTCCCAGGCCTAGAATGGACTTCCAGAAGCAGCGTGGGTTCAGCCGGTTCTCCGAACTCAACAAAATTTAGCTACCAGTTCTAACAAACCGGTGCAAATTGGCTGAATCCCACTACTGAGTAAAAATATATCCTTCCTCTACTAATGGAGTCAAGGGTCTTTCTTTCTTAAATGCCCAGGGAGAAAAGTGGCATCTTGTCACTCTGGATACCAAAAATGGTTAGTCCTTCAATAGAAGATCACATGAAGTTAGGGTTGAAGGCTCTGTTGAGAAGCTGAAGGAGACTCAACCAGAAGAAGACAATGGCAAGAAACAACCTTGGATGTATGTCTCAAAGGTGCTTTTCCAAAAGGCAACTGGACTTTCTTGGTTTTTCCTTGAAGACATTTCGCTTCTCATCCACGAAGCTTCTTCAGTTCAGACCAAATAGTAATAATAATAATAGTAGTAATAGAGTTGGAAGGGAACTTTGAGGTCTTCTAGTCCAACCCCCTGCTCATGCAAGAGACTCTACCTATGCCATTCCAGACACATGGCTGTCCAGTCTCGTCTTAAAAGCCTCCAGTGATGGAGCATCCACAACTTCTGGAGGCAGGTTGTTCCCCTGGTTAATTGTTCTAACTGTCAGGAAGTTTCTCCTTAGTTCTAGGTTGCTTCTCTCCTGATTAGTTTCCATCTGTTGCTTCTTGTCCTGCCTTCAGGCGCTTTGGAGAATAGATTGAACTTCCTCTTTTTTTGTGATAGACCCCCAAATATATTGGAACACTGCTATTATGTCATCCCTAGTCCTTCTTTTTTGGGCACCATGATGTAAAAAATATGTTGAGACTCTAGAAAGAGTACAGAGAAGAGCAACAAAGATGATTAGGGGACTGGGGGCTAAAACATATAAAGAATGGTCGCTGGAATTGGGTATGTCTAGTTTAATGAAGAGAAGGACCAGGGGGAACATCATAGCAGTGTTCCAGTATCTCAGGGGCTGCCCCAAAGAAGAGAGAGTCAAGCTATTCTCCAAACCGCCTGAGGCAGGACAAGAAGCAACGGATGGAAACTAATCAAGGAGAGAAGCAACCTAGAACTAAGGAGAAACTTCCTGACAGAACAATTAACCAGTGGAACAACCTGCCTCCAGAAGCGGTGAATGCTCCAACACTGGAAGTCTTTAAGAAGAGACTGGACAGCCATGTGTCTGAAATGGTATAGATTTCCTGCCTGAGCAGGTTGTTGTTGTTGTTGTTGTTGTTATTATTATTATTATTATTATTATTATTATTATTATTATTATTATTATTGCAAAAGGCAGCTTTACTCGGAACAGCTGACATCCTGTAACTCTGTCTCTTTAACCTGTAACTCTGTCTGTTCCCAGATTGTTGGGAAGGATGCAATAGATGGATAAAGATGCCGAATCTAATTTGAACATCTGGCTGTGACCAACCATATTAATTTACTTTCTTATGGCATGTTGATGGGGGGATGGAGGGATGGATGGATGGACAGAGAACAGAGTAGAGTAGAGTAGAGTAGAATAGAATAGAATAGAATAGAATAGAATAGAATAGAATAGAATAGAATAGAATAGAATAGAATAACTTTATTGTCACTTTGAATGTACACTTATCAGCATACATTAAAATGAAATTTCATCACATACAGCTGTCATTAATAACAAAAAAATTGCATATACCCACATATTAACATATATTCTATTTCACAGGAAGGAAGGAAGGAAGGAAGGAAGGAAGGAGGGAGGGAAGGAGGGAGGGAGGGAGGGAGGGAGGGAGGGAGGGAGGGAGGGAAGGAAGGAAGGAAGGAAGGAAGGAAGGAAAAAGTAGGAGGAGGAAGGGAGGGATGGGGAGGGGAGGGAGGGAAGGAGGGAGGGAGGGAGGGAAGGAAGGAAGGAAGGAAAAAGTGGGAGAAGGAAGGGAGGGAGGAAGGGAGGGAAGGAAGGAAGGATTTAAGTTAAACTATGAATTGTCTTCTCTTGCAGTTGAACCAGAGTTCCTAATGGCCACAGAAGGGGAGAACCAGACAGCTACAAAGACTGAGGTCAGTTTCCAAGCTCTTCTTTCAGGGAACGATGGTTACCATGAATACTGCTGAATTGTTGGCGAGGCCCACTTGGGGATCAGCGCAGGTTTATAGACTCCAGCCATGCCTCCTCCAACTCAGCGCATCCTTTTGCATCCTTTTTTAGTGAGTCATTGAGGCTACTTGGAGGTTTGTCTGTGTCCCCAGGGTCACCTGAGTGGTGCAAATGGGTGTGGAGCCTTCTCAGAGCTGCTGAAAGGACCCTGTGGTAGACTGAAGATAGACGGTGTCGTATTACAGATAAACCTCCAAGTGGCCTCAACGACCCTCTAATAAAATGCAAATGACCGGCTGTCTGCAAGGAGTATAAATCCTTCCCTTCCCCACCACCCAGTCAGAGCTGAAGAAGCTTCTGGGAGGAGAAGCGAAACATCTTCAAAGAAAAACAAGGAAGTCCAGTTGCCACGTGGAAAAGCACCTTTGGGACATCACAGCTGTAGTACAGGAAGTCCTCGGCTTACGACCACAATCGGAAGCACAATTGTTAAGGGAATGGCTGAAGTTGTAAAGCGAGTCACGCAATCTTTACACGAATCCAGCTTCCCCCATGAATTTTGCTTGTCGGAAGCCGGCTGGGAAGGTCGCAAAATGGAGATCACGTGACCCCAGGAGGCTGTGACCGTCGTAGATCCATGCCGGTTGCCAAGCGCCTTAATTTTAATCCCGTGACCATGAGGATATTGTGACGGTTGTAAGTGTGAAGACCGGCCATGAGTCACTCGTAACCTCGAATGGTCGCTAAACGAGTGGTTGTAAGCCGAGGACTACCCATACTGGGACGGTTGTAAGTGTGAGGACTGGCCAGAAGTCACTCATAACCTCGAACAGTCGCTAAACAAGTGGTTGTAAGCCGAAGACTACCCATACAGTGACGGTTGTAAGGGCGAGGACTGGACATAAGTCACTTTGAATAGTCGCTAAAGGAGTCATTGTAAACAAGCTGAGGACTCTCCATATCGACAGGGTCAGAAGGCTTAGCAAGAGTAGTGGGAGGATCCCCAGAGGGAAGACACTCCCATCAGCCCCAGCCACAAAGGGCAACACCCAGAGGTAATGGGAGGTGTAGTCCAGGCACTCTAGAACAGTGGTGGCGAACCTATGGCACACGTGCCAGAGGCGGCACTCAGAGTCCTCTCTGTGGGCACGCGCGCCGTCGCCCCAGCCCCGCCTCCCCCTGTGGCCCCCTCCTCACCAGAAGCCCCCCCCCGGAGGAGAGTCGCCCCAAAGCACGGCCCACACGGAGCAGCGCAGCCAAGAACATGGCAGCCGGGCAGCGGGGATAAGACTCCGCCCTCGCGCCCCATCATGCACAGTTGATGCTGCAGGGCGCGGGCGGAGGGTGTGGCCGCCATAGCGCTGCTGGGCCACCTGGGCGATCTGCGGCAGGCCATGGAGGCGGTGAGTGGCCCCCGCAGGTGGGCGAGGCGGTGGGTGGGGTGGGGGCGGAGCAGGGCGGGGCTAGTTTGGGGGCACTCGCTCTCTAAAAGGTTTGCCCTCACTGCCCTAGAAGCATCTGGGAAGCAGCCGGTCTCTGGCCAGGGATCCCGGCTGAGATCAGCTTTCTCGCTCCCCTCCAGAATATCGTGACCAGAATCACCAACCTGCCCTTGGTCAGTTCTGCGTACGGCGTTTGGTCCTCCATGTACGAGTATGCCAAGAAGACCTACCCCTGCGTCAACACCGCCTGCAACATCGTCGAGATGGTGGCCGCCGTCGCCGTGGGCAGTGCCCGAGGGGGTGCCCAGCCTCTCCTGCCCCACCTTGAACCCCAGAGTGAGTCCACAAACGCTGCCTTTAAGAGTCCGGCTGGCTGCCTGGAGCTCCCTGGTGCAGCGTTTCAAGCTTCAAGCGCCACTTGAACTGCCGTCAGGTGGCTAGTCCTCACGGTGTAAATGTTTCTTTGCAGGAATAATAATAATAATAATAATAATAATAATAATAATAATAATTATTATTATTATTATTATTATTATTATTATTATTATTATTATTCAAACAGACAAGCACCTGCAACATAACACTCCAGACTTAACAATTGTCGATAAGAAAGACAAAAAAATCTGGATAGTGGATGTGGCAGTGCCTGGAGACAGCAGAATAGACGAGAAAGAACTGGAGAGGATAACAAAATACAAAGACCTACAAATAGAAATAGAAAGACTGTGGCAAAAGCAAGCAAGGGTAGTACCAATAGTCATAGGCTCCTTGGGTGCAATCCCAAAACAACTGGAGCACCACTTGAACACCACTGGCATTGACAAATTCGCTATTAGTCAATTGCAAAAGGCGGCCTTATTAGGAACTGCTTCCATCCTGCGACGATATCTGTAATACCATCAAACATCCATACCTGCCTATCCCAGGTCCTGGGTAAAGACTCGATAGGTAGACAAAATGCCAAATCCAGTCTGAACATCTGGCTGACTGTGCGATGATCCATAATAATAATAATAAAAGTTGGAAGGGACCTTGGAGGTCATCTAGTCCAACCCCCTGCTCAGGCAGGAAACCCTATACCATTTCGGACAAATGGCTGTCCAGTCTTTTCTTAAAGAATAGAATAGAATAGAATAGAATAGAATAGAATAGAATAGAATAGAATAGAATAGAATAGAATAGAATAGAATAGAGCTGGAAGGGACCTTGGAGGTCTTCTAATCCAGCCCCCTCTCAAGCAGGAGAACCTATACCATTTCAGACAAGTGACTGTTTAGCCTCTTTTAAAAAATCTCCAGTGATGGAGTGCCCACGATTTTTGGTGGCAAGCTTTTCCACTGGTTAATTGTCCTCACTGTCAGGAAGTTTCTCCTTAATTCCAGGTTGCTTCTCTCTTTGGTCAGCTTCCAACCGTTGTTTCTCGTCCTTCTCTCTGGTGCTTTGGAGAATAACGTGACCCCCTCATCTTTGTGGGAGCCCCCCAGATACTGGAACACGGCTATCATGCCTCCCCTATTTCTTCTTTTCTTTAGACTAGCCAGACCCAAGTCCTGCAACTGTTTCAGACGGAAACATAGTGTGAGGCTGGTTTGACTTAAGGCCAAAAGTTTAAAAATGTTTTTTTTTTTCTTCCTTTCCAGTTGCAACCGTGAACGACTATGCTTGCAAAGGTTTGGACAAGTTGGAGAAAAAACTGCCAATTCTTCATCAACCAACTTACCAGGTAACATAAATTAGCAAAGTTCCCAGAACGCACCTTGCTGGCTGGGGAATTCTGGGAGTTGACGTCCACACATCTTAAAGTTTCTCCAGGTTGAGAAACATTGCTCCAAAGCAGGGGTCTTTGGCCCTTTTAGGACTTGTGGACTTCAACTCCCAGAATTCCTCGGCCAGCGTGCCTGGCTGAGGAATTCTGGGAGTTGAAGTCCACAAATCATAAAAGGGCCAAGTTTGAAGATCCCTACTCTAGGGCAGGTAACTATGGCCCTTTTATGACTTGTGGACTTTAACTCCCAGCATTCCTGAGCCAGCCAGGCTCAGCCATTCTGGTTCAGGAATTCTGGGAGTTGAAGTCCACAAGTCATAAAAGGGCCATACCTGTAGTTCTCCCCCACCCCCGCTCTAGAGGGTTGAAACTTTAGTAGTCCACAACTTACAACCACAACTGAGCCCAAAACTGATGTTGCTAAGTGAGAAATATGTTAAGTAAGTTTTGCCCTATTTTACAACTTTTCTTGCCATATTTCTTAAGTGAATCACTGCGGTTATTAAGTTAGCAACCCTGTCATTAAGCGAATGTGGTTTCCCCAGTGACTTTACTTGTCAGAAGGTCACAAAAGGGGATCACTGCGGCCGTCATAAATATGAGTCAGTCGCCAAGTGTCTGAATTTTGATCACTTGACCGTGGGAATGCTGCGACGGTCATAAATGTGAAAAATGGTCCTACGCCACTTTTTTAAGTGCCATCGCAACTTTGAACGGTCTTAAATCAAGGACTGCTTCTCCCTTGGAAGAGACCTTGGAGGTCATCTAGTCCAACCACCTGCTCAGGCAGGAAACCCTATACCATTTCGGACAAATGGCTGTCCATCTCTTCTTAAAAACTTCCAGTGTTGAAGCATTCACTGCTTCTGGAGGCAGGTTGTTCCACTGGTTAATGTTCTAACTGTCAGGAAGTTTCTCCTTAGTTCTAGGTTGCTTCTCTCCTTGATCAGTTTCCATCCGTTGCTTCTTGTCCTGCCTTCAGGTGCTTTGGAGAAGAGCTTGACTGCCTCTTCTTTGGGGCAGCCCAAGATACTGGAAGACTGCTATTATGTCCTTCCTCGTCCTTAATAATAATAATAAGAGTAAAGTTGGAAGGGACCTTGGAGGTCATCTAGTCCAACCCCCTGCTCAGGCAGGAAACCCTATACCATTTCGGACAAATGGCTGTCCAGTCTCTTAAAAGCTTCCAGTGTTGGAGCATTCACCGCTTCTGGAGGCAGGTTGTTCCACTGATTAATTGTTTTAACTGTCAGGAAGTTTCTCCTTAGTTCTAGGTTGCTTCTCTCCTTGATCAGTTTCCATCCTTTGTTTCTTGTCCTGCCTTCAGCTGCTTTGGAGAATAGCTTGACTCCCTCTTCTTTGGGGCAGCCCCTGAGATAGTGGAAGACTGCTATCATGTCCCCCCTCGTCCTTCTCTTCATGAAACTAGACATACCCAATTCCAGCAGCCGTTCCTTATATGCTTTATAAGGACTGATGACCAGTCCCCTAATCATCTTTGTTGCTCTTCTCTGTACTCTTTCTAGAGTCTCAACATCTTTTTTACATCGTGGTGACCAAAACCGGATGCAGTACTCCAAGTGTGGCCTTACCAAGGCCTTGTAAAGTAGTATTAACATATCACGTGATCTTGAGTCTATCCCTCTGTTAATGCAGCCTAGCACTGTGTTGGCCTTTTTGGCAGCTGCAGCACACGGCTGGCTCCTATTTAAGTGATTGTCCACTAGGACTCCGAGATCCCTCTCACAGTTGCTACTATTGAGCAAGGTACCCCCTATACTATACCTATGGATTTGGTTTTTCTTGCCTACTGCAAGGAGAGGCTCCTTCCTTGTCACTGGAGTTTTCGTCCTATAGTGAATCAGTGCAATCCGTAGAGCGTCGGACTAGATGACCTCAGAGTTCCCTTTCAACCCTATGATTCCAGAGATTCTTTTTAAAAGGTACAATTAAAAGACAAGGGAGGAAAGAAACAAGGCAAAACATATTTTCCCCCCCAGTAATTAACCTCTGGATAAACAAGAAACCGAATCTGATAAAGGAGCAGTGAAAGAACTCCACCCCAGGGTTGGCCGAATTCCTATCTATCAAGAACTTGTAATCTATTATAATATCTGTAAAGAGATCAGGACAGAAAAACTATCAGCAAACGTAATGTCTCGGGAGACGCTCAGTCATCCAGGCACTTAGGAGGCATCTGGACTTTCCTGTTTTTCTTTGAAGACGTTTCGCTTCTCCTCCCAGAAGCTTCTCCAGCTCTGACTGCATGGTGGGGAATGGAAGGATTTATACTCCTGGCAGACAGCTGGTCATTTGCCTCCTTTTGGAGAGTCGTTGAGGCCACTTGGAGATTTGTCTGTGTCCGCAGGGTCACAGTCTACAACAAAGTCCTTTCAGCAGTTCCAAAAAGGCTCCCCAGCCATTTGCACTACTCAGCTGACACAGATAAACCCTTCTCGGAATTGCGGAAAGGACCGTGTTGTAGACTGGAGATGGGTGATGACGTACCACAGATAAACCTCCAAGTGGCCTCAACGACTCTCTAAAACAGTGGTTCTCAACCTTTTTAATGCCGCGACCCCCAACTGGTCGTAAGTCGAGGACTACCCAACTGATCGTAAGTCGAGGACTACCCAACCAGTTGTAAGTCAAGGACTTTCCCTTCCCGGGAGTGTCATGCATGCGTGGTGCCGCCCCCTGTGCTGGCCGAGGCGTAGCTGGCAAGCGGCAGAGACGGCGCAGGCCGACCACCAGCTGGGCCACCAGCTGGCCCAGTCCAAGGGAGGTAAGGCACCCGCCGGGCCCCACGTGCACCAGCAACCCTCCCTGCGCCCGCAGGGGTGGAAGCAGGGGTGGAAGCTTCCAGACAGCTGGCCTTCGCTGCAGACAACTTGCAGCACCGTTTGCAGAATGGGACTTTTGGCGGGCTCAGCAGGGCAGAGACAGCCTGGACAATTCCTATTGGCTTTGAAAGCCAATAGAATTAGACTCTATTCAAGAGAGTCTATTCTATTGGCTTTCAAAAGCCAATAGAATAAAAGGGAGTAGCACAGCTAAGGAAAAGGGGGGAAAATGGCGGACTGCGTTGTTTGGCGACCCCCGTGAAATGGTCGTTCGATCCCAAATGGGGTTGCAACCCACAGGTTGAGAACCGCTGCTCTAAAAGGAGGCAAATGACCGGCTGTCTGCCAGGAGTATAAATCCTTCCCTTCCCCACCATGTCAGAGCTGATGAAGCTTCTTGGAGGAGAAATGAAACGTCTTCAAAGGAGAAACAAGAAAGTCCACTTGCCTCCTGAAAAATAAACACCTTTGGGATATCAGCAAGCTTCGCTCCTCCTTGCACTGATGACGTGACCTAGCAGGGGAATGAAACGTCTGCAGGAAAACTGTCCAGTTGACAGAACCCCGCAGACTCACCGTATCCTTCGAAATACAGATAGTCCTCAACATACAACCGTAACGAAGCCAGTCCATTACAGTCACAAGTTGTAACGGTCATAAAGCAGGTCACTCACATGATCCACCCGATTTTGCAACCTTTCTGAGGGAGCCATTAAGTGAACGCTGCTGTGGTTAAACGAACACTGCCATCATTAAGCGAACCCACGGTTGGCTATGGGCACAGTTTTACTGAAAACTGGAGGTAATTTCCCTTTTTTTTTTTGACAAAACTGTCATAAACCACAGCCACTTGACCGACCCGACTTACACCCATCACAACATACAACTGTAATCGGCAGACTCCATTACAATCCTAAATTGAAGATTACTGCTGGGGGGGGGAGTGACGTTGGAACTTTAGAACTGGGTTGTAACTCAATTTTTTCAGGTAGATCGTAACTTTGAATGGTCGCTAAGTGATCGGTTATAAGTGGAGGACTCTTTGTATATTTTACTCAGTGGCTCTAGAGTCATTCTCTGATTTTAATTGGAGTTTTCCACTCAACCATTTCCTGGTGTTTGCACAAAAATTTACAAGGATAGGACAGGATAGGCTATAAAATAGAATATGGGATAGGATAGGATAGGATAGGATAGGATAGGATAGGATAGGATAGGATAGGATAGGCTATAAAATAGAATATGGGATAGGATGAGACAGGATATAGAATAGAATATAGAATAGGATAGGATAGGATATAAAATAGAATATAGGATAGGATAGGATAGGATAGGATATAAAATAGAATATGGGATAGGATGAGACAGGATATAGAATAGAATATAGAATAGGATAGGATATAAAATAGAAGGATAGGATAGGATAGGATAGGATAGGATAGGATAGAAAATAGAATATGGGATAGGATGACAGGATATAGAATAGAATATAGAATAGGATAGGATATAGAATAGAATATAGGGTAGGATGAGACAGGATATAGAATAGGATAGGACAGGATATAAAATAGAATATAGGATAGGATAGGATATAAAATAGAGTATGGGATAGGATAGAATAGAATAGGATAGAATAGAATAGGATAGGATAGGATATAAAATAGAATATAGGATAGGATAGGATAGGATATAAAATAGAATATGGGATAGGATGAGACAGGATATAGAATAGAATATAGAATAGGATAGGATAGGATATAAAATAGAATATAGGATAGGATAGGATAGGATAGGATATAAAATAGAATATGGGATAGGATGAGACAGGATATAGAATAGAATATAGAATAGGATAGGATATAAAATAGAAGGATAGGATAGGATAGGATAGGATAGGATAGGATAGGATAGGATAGGATAGAAAATAGAATATGGGATAGGATGACAGGATATAGAATAGAATATAGAATAGGATAGGATATAGAATAGAATATAGGGTAGGATGAGACAGGATATAGAATAGGATTGGACAGGATATAAAATAGAATATAGGATAGGATAGGATATAAAATAGAGTATGGGATAGGATAGAATAGAATAGGATAGAATAGAATAGGATAGGATAGGATATAAAATAGAATATAGGATAGGATAGGATAGGATATAAAATAGAATATGGGATAGGATGAGACAGGATATAGAATAGAATATAGAATAGGATAGGATAGGATATAAAATAGAAGGATAGGATAGGATAGGATAGGATAGGATGGGATAGGATAGAAAATAGAATATGGGATAGGATGACAGGATATAGAATAGAATATAGAATAGGGTAGGATATAGAATAGAATAGGATAGGATAGAAAATAGAATATGGGATAGGATGACAGGATATAGAATAGAATATAGGATAGGATGACAGGATATAGAATAGAATATAGAACAGGATAGGACAGGATATAAAATAGAATATAGGATAGGATATAAAATAGAGTATGGGATAGGATAGAATAGAATAGAATAGAATAGGATAGGATAGGATAGGATAGGATAGGATAGAATAGAATAGAATAGAATATAGAATATAGACTATAGACTATAGACTATAGACTATAGAATATAGAATAGAATAGAATATAGAATAAAATAGAATATAGAATGGAATGGAATAGAATATAGAATAGAATATAGAATGGAATAGAATAGAATAATAACATTATTGTCATTTTAAATATACTAATCAGCATACATTAAAATGAGATTTTGTGGCATACATAGATGAGTTCAATGGCAGGTTGTTTCAGATGACCGGCCATCCTTGCGGCACCCATCCCAGCGTCCCAAATCTTTGGGATACGAAAGTGCCCGAGAACTTCCCGTCTCGGACTTTCTTGCTCCTGAATCTCCACCCAATGCTTCTCGCTCGGCCTTTGACCTTCTTCCTCCTCCTTCTAGGTCTTCGAAGACGGCGTCACCTTGACCAAGTCGGTGGTTTCTTCCACCGTCCAGGCGGCCGGCGAAGCCAAGGGCCGCATGACCCAGAAAGTGACCGCCGCTGTCGGCCTGACCAAGGACATCGTCCAGGACGGCATCACCTTGACCAAATCCGTGGTGAACTCCACCGTCACCACGGCCCGGAGCGCCGCCAGTGGAGCCAAGGATCTCATGACTCATCGGGCGGCTGACGTGGTCAAGCTGGGCAAGCAGACCCTCAACGAAGGCGTTGACCTGACCCGATCGGTGGTGTCCACCACGGTCAACGCCGCCCGTCAGATGCAGAGCTCGGGGGCCGTCCAGGAAGGGGTGGAGATGGCCACGTTGTTCCGGCAAGCCGTGGCCAGCGGGGTGGACACCGTGTTGGATAAGACGGAGCAGATGGTGGACTATTACCTTCCTGTGTCCGAAGAAGAGCTCGGTAAGAGCAGAGGCGCCACGTTCTTGAACACGGCACCTTTGATTACCCAATCCAGGCCGTCCTCGACTTACGACAGTTCCTTTAGTGACCGTTCAAAGTTACAACGGCACTCCAAAAAAGGGACGTACGGCCGTTTTTCCACGCTGAATGACCGTTGCAGCATTCCCCCGTGGTCGCGTGATTTCTATTCCGATGCTTGACAACCGGTTCATACTTACGACGGTCACAGTATCCCGGGGTCACCGTTTCTGGAGGCAGGTTGTTCCACTGGTTAATTGTTCTAACTGTCAGGATGTTTCTCCTTAGTTCCAAGTTGCTTCTCTCCTTGAAGCAACGGTGGAAACTAACCAAGGAGAGAAGCAACCTGGAACTAAGGAGAAACGTCCTGAGAGTTAGAACAATTAACCAGTGGAACTACCTGCCTCCAGAAGCGGTGAATGCTCCAACACTGGAAGTTTTTAAGAAGAGACTGGACAGCCATTTGTCCGAAATGGTATAGGCCTTTCCTGCCCGAGCAGGGGGTTGGACTAGATGACCTCTAAGGTCCCTTTCCTTCCTTTCCTTCCTTTCCTTTCCTTCCCTCCCCTCCCTCCCTCCCTTCCTTCCTTCCTTCCCTTTCTTGTGGGCCAGCCCTCTCATCCACAGGCGACTCATGAGGCAGACAAAATTTGAAGATGAAAAGGCTGGGGCGGCTGATCCTTCCTGGGCAGGAAGGGGACCTGTTCACACCTGCTTTGTCCTCCCTGCAGCCCAGCTGGCCACCGAGGTCCACGGCGTCAGCCAGGCCGCCATCGACCAGCAGCAGAGGGAGCAGAGCTATTTTGTCCGTCTGGGGTCCCTCTCCAGCAAACTCCGTTCCCGGGTCTACCGACATTCCCTGAATCGGCTTCATGTGGTCCAGGAAAACACTCAGGACATGCTCACCCAGCTCCAGTATGTGATTAACCTGGTAAGCCGGCCCTGGGTTCAAATCAGTGCAATCCAAGGTACAGGTAATCCTCGACGTACAACCGTTCGTTTAGCAACCATCCAAAATTAGAATGGCACTGAAAAAAGTGACTTATGGGCCCAGTACTCTTCAACATCTTCATCAACGATTTGGACGAGGGGATAGATGGGGAACTCATCACATTTGTGGATGACACCAAGCTGGCAGGAATAGCCAACACTCCAGGAGACAGGCTTAGGATACAGGAGGATCTGGACAGACTTGAACACTGGGCGCTATCTAACAAAATGAAACTCAAGGGTGAAAAAAGTCAGGTTCTACATTTAGGCAAGAAAAACCAAATGCGCAGATATAGTATAGGGGGTACCTTGCTCAATAGTAGCAACTGTGAGAGGGATCTTGCAGTCCTAGTGGACAATCACTTAAATAGGAGCCAGCCGTGTGCTGCAGCTGCCAAAAAAGCCAACACAGTGCTGGGCTGCATTAACAGAGGGATAGAGTCAAGATCACGTGTTAATACCACTTTACAATGCCTTAGTAAGGCCACACTTGGAATATGGCATCCAGTTTTGGTCACCACGATGTAAAAAAGATGTTGAGACTCTAGAAAGAGGGCAGAGAAGAGCAACAAAGATGATCAGGGGACTGGAGGTTAAAACATATAACGAATGGTTGCTGGAATTGGGGATGTCCAGTTTAATGAAGAGAAGGACAAGGGGGATGTGATAGCAGTGTTCCAATATCTCAGGGGCTGCCACAAAGAAGAGGGAGTCAAGCTATTTTCCAAAGCGCCTGAAGGCAGGACAAGAAGCAACGGATGGAAACTAACCAAAGAGAGAAGCAACCTAGAACTTAGGAGAAATGTCCTGATAGTTAGAACAATCAACCAGTGGAACAACCTGCCTCCAGAAGTGGTGAATGCTCCAACACTGGAAGTTTTTAAGAAGAGACTGGACAGCCATTTGTCTGAAATGGTAGAGAGTTTCCTGACTGAGCAGGGGGCTGGACTAGATGACCTCCAAGGTCCCTTCCAACTTCTTCTTCTTCTTCTTCTTCTTCTGCTTCTTCTTCTTCTTTCTTTTCTTCTTCTTCTTCTTCTTATTATTATTATTATTATGTATTATTATTATTTTTATTATTATTATTATTATGGATCATCGCACAGTCAGCCAGATGTTCAGACTGGATTTGGCATTTTGTCTACCTATCGAGTCCTTACCCAGGACCTGGGATAGGCAGATGTGGATGTTTGATGGTATTACAGATATCGTCGCAGGATGGAAGCAGTTCCTATTATTATTATTATTATTATTATATTTTACACTTAGTGACGGTTGCAGCATCCACGTGGTCATCGGGGGTTTGGGGTGGGGTCGTGTTCCGACGTGTGACGACCTGCTTTATAATGACGATCGCAATATACAATTGCAGGTTCAATTTACGGTCGTGAGTCGAGGACTGCCTGCATCGGGTTACAAGCTGAATAATATTACACCGCTTTCTTAAATTGTTTTGATTTCTGCTTGGCTGGCAGGTGGCACATGTGAAAAACAGCGCAGGGAGTCAGTTCCAGGAAGCACAACAGAAACTTAACCAAACTTTGCTTAAATGGACCCAAATTCAGCCGGAAGAGGATCAGGAAAGAAGAAAGAAAGAAAACACCCCACAGCAGGTATTCTATGCTTCCAAGTACAGGTAATTCTCGATTTATGACTAGGTGGATTTATTGCATGTTAAACTATTGTTCATTGCAGGGTTGTTGTTGTTGTTGTTGTTGTCAAATTTGGCTGCTTTCAGATACGTGGATCCCATCTGAAAGTTACTGAGATTGAGAAAGACTGTCATAGACACTACGGAGGTCCAGGAACACGGGTGTGTGTGTACTTCAATGTTATCTCTATCTGTTTGCTGCAGCTTTCCACTTTGACCTTCCCTGCAGAAGCCAGGAACATAGCTGGCTGGGGAAGATAGGTGGACTTCAACTCCCAGAATGCTGCTGGGGAATTCTGGGAGCTGAAGTCCACCCATCTTCCAGAGGCCCTATTTGAAAAAAAACTAGTTAATGGCAAGTCCCAATCACAAAGTCTCAATCGCCAAGCTATGCTCATGTTGGTGATGCACCAAATTTGTCCTCCGCAGGTCGAGCCGTTGACTTTGGCCATGTTACGATCCCTCATCCAAAATCTGAGTCCTGCTTACACCTGGCTGATGTCCACCGTGGAAGTGCTGCCCAGAAACCTCCGGGAAAGAGTGGACCAGACTCAGAGTAACTTCCAGCAGCTCCATCGCTCCTTCTCTTCTGCCGAGTCCTTCCAGGATCTGCCCTCCGGCCTCCTCACCCAGAGCCAGGAGATGATTTCCCAAGCCCGAGAGGTTCTCCACACGTTGGCCGAACACCTCATCCAGATCACCCCTCTGAATTGGATCGTGGGGCCCTTCCGATCCCAGGCAGGAGGATCGGGGACCCCCCAGGTGGTGCAGCTGAAGGAGACGAGCAAAGAGGCCAGGGCACCCTCGTTGGAGAAGGTGGCAGCTAAAAGGGCAAAGAGGATGGAGAAGACAACTGAGGAGGACCCGAGAGAGTCCACAGAGGCGATGGGGGCCTTGAAGGAGCTGTTAGCGGGGTCCGAGAAGGCCCCCCAAGAGAAGAACTAGGAGAGGCAAAGTCTCCAGGGCTGTCCACAAGGCGTGGTCAAGAGTCTCCAGGTGTTGACCACAACAGAGTGTTGATGGCCTCTTTGGGACCACCATCTTCTTTGACCACACCCTGTGGACATCCTGGGAGCCTCTGAAGGGCCGGGCAAGTTGCCCTAAAAGTTTTGCAGCTCTTCCTCCCCAACTACAATGCCCCCCCACCCCCCACCCCATGATGCTGGAGGCCTTCTCCCAAAAAGTCAGATGAAGGAGACCCAATTTCCAAGAGGCGAACTCCAGTCCCTGTGAAAAGAGAAACAGGAAAGCTAAAGGCTTGCAGAGAGATAGAGATAGAGAGAGAGAGAGAGAGAGAGAGAGAGAGAGAGAGAGAGAGAGAGAGCAGTGGATCTCAACCTGTGGGTCGGGACCCCATTTGGGGTCGAACGACCATTTCACGGGGGTCGCCAAACAACGCAGTCCGCCATTTTTTTCACCTTTTCCTTAGCTGTGCTACTTTTGAAAGCCAATAGAATAGACTCTCTTGAATAGAGTCTAATTTTATTGGCTTTCAAAAGCCAATAGGAATTGTCCAGGCTGTCTCTGCCCTGCTGAGCCCGCCAAAAGTCCCATTCTGCAAACGATGCTGCACCAGTTGAGTAGTCCTCGATTTACGACCGGTTGAGTAATCCTCGACTTACGACCGGTTGGAGGTGGCGGCATTAAAAAGGTTGAGAACCACTGAGATAGAGATAGAGATAGAGATAGAGATCTGCTTGGATCCATCTTCTCCCCAAAGGGACCCAGATCCTTGGAGAGGGGGCCACTTTCCTTCCCAGGGCTCCGGGGATCCATTGTGTTAATTTCCAAGAAAGCCCATCTTAGACTTCTGCTTTGATTCAGAACTGCAATCAAAATAGAATGGAACGGAACAGAACGGAATGGAATAGAACCTGGAAGGGATCTTGGAGGTCTTCTAGTCCAACCCCCCACTCAAGTAGGAGAACCTATACTCATAGTGGCGAACCCATGGCACGCGTGCCACAGAGCCCTCTCTGTGGGCGCGCGCGCCATCGCCCCAGTCCTAGGCCTTCAGCTGGGTTTTATAAAACCTTTTCGCTTTGGGCCTCCGCCGCCGTGTGCAAAAAAAAAAAAAAGTTCAATCAATCCATTTCAACTTCTCGCGGGGAAAAAAAAAGATCTCGCAAAGTTGGATTTGATTGATTGAACTTTTTAGTCCCAACCAGTCTGCCATTACCACCGCAGCCATGCCCATCCAATGGGCCACGCCCACCCAATGGACCACATCTACCAAATGGGCCACGCCCACCCGGCACCGGACGATACATAAGTGGGTTTTGGGTTGCAGTTTGGGCACTCGGTCTCTAAAAGGTTTGCCATCACTGATCTATACCATCTCAGACAAGTGAAGGTCCATCCTCTTCTTAAAAATCTCCAGAGATGGGGCGCCCATGATTTCTGGTGGGAAGCTGTTCCACTGGTTAATTGTCCTCACCGTTAGGAAGTTCCTCCTTAATTCCAGGTTGCTTCTCTCTTTGGTCAGTTTCCAGCCATTGTTTCACATCCTTCCCTCTGGTGCCTTGGAGAATAATTTGACCCGCTCTTCTTTGTGGCAGCCCCTCAAATACTGGAACACTGCTATCACATCTCCCTTTTCTTCTTTTCTTTAGACTAGCCAGACCCAAGTCCCGCAGCTGTTCTTTGTATGTTTTAGTCTCCAGCCTTGGATCATCTTAGTTGTTCTTCAGAGTATGGGAGATGAGTTGGTCAGGATCTGGTCCCTAAATGGGTGGCTGGTATTTATTTGGACCTCTGTGCCAGAGAGAGAAACAATTGTCTTTTTTTCCCCCATTTTAACCAGTGGAACGACTTGCCTCCCAAAGTTGTGGGTTCTCCAACACTGGAGGTTTTCAAGAAGAGATTGGACAACCATTTGTCCTGAATGGTATAGGGTCTCCTGCCTGAGCAGGGGGCTGGACTAGAAGACCTTCAAGGTCCCTTCCAACTCTGTTATCCTCTTATTCTGTTATTTCCGTTGAGCCCAGCATTTGATCATCTAATTGAGCATTAAGTGTAGCACCTAATTCCAAGGAAGGAATCGACAGAAAGGAATTCTATTTCCTCCTCTTAGCCAAGCGTCTAGTCCCCATTAGTGCAGAGATCAGCTTGTAAATAGGTGTAAGGCTGGGCGGCTGAGGTCAAAAGCTTAATGGCGAAGATGGACTTGAAGATGATATTTGAAGGCAGGCAGAAGAAACGGTGACTTTATTTAACTCAGGAGTCTTCAAAGACTTGGCCCTTTGATGACTTGTGGACTTCAACTCCCAGAATTCCTCAACCAGGCACGCTGGCTGAGGAATTCTGGGAGTTGAAGTCCACAAGTCATAAAAGGGCCAAGTTTGAAGTCCCCTGAATTAGAGAGGGCTGTCTCATGCATGAGGCGATCTACACTCTGATTGGTTGTTGTGGGTATGAAGGGGGCATTTCCCATTTTTCCCGCCTTTTTTCCTCTGTGTGTTCTGTCCACAATTTGATTTACCTCAGGATATCCCTATGTGCCTGACTATCTTGTGTTTTTCCTTTCTGGATGATGATAAAAATGTAAATTTAAATGTGCCTGGCTGAGGAATTCTGGGAGTTGAAGTTCACAAGTCATAAAAGGGCTACGGTTGAAGACCCCTGCTTGTGGACTTCCACTCCCAGAATTCCTCAGCCAGACACGCTGGCTGAGGAATTCTGGAAGCGGAAGTCCACAAGTCATCAAAGGGCCAAGTTTGAAGAGCCCTGAGTTAACTCTGGGGGCGGGAGGAGTTCAGAATGGGTCCAGCTGAATTTCCATGAAGCTAAGCTTTGACCAGTTTCCTGTGGATCCTTCGTTTGTCTCCATGCTGTAGGAAAATAAATTTTAAAAACATGCATGCCAGTTTCCATCATCTTTTGCAGTCGAAGAGAGATTGTGGGGGCTTGGGAGGGAGGGGTGCATAAAAGGAGGCCACAAGTGATGGGTGGATTTTGATTTAGAGCAGAGGTGGGGGAACGGTGGCCCTTTTCTGACTGGTGGACTTCAACTCCCAGAATTCATCAGTCGGCCATTTTGATGAAACTGTGGGCTTCGATCCAGATCAGGAATCTTCAGACTTGGCCCTTTTATGACTGGTGGACTTCAACTCCCAGAATTCCTGGTTCAATTGAAGCGGAGATCATAAAAGGGCTGTCTCCCCCACCCCCCCATTTAGAGCCTGCCAATTTTCAAGATAGCATGGACTGGTGTTGAATGAAGTCCACCTGAAAGCACCAGATTGGGGAAAGGTCTATTGATAGACGGATGGAAAGATGGGTGGGTGGATGGATGGATGGAAAGGTGGAGGGATGAATGGGTCGGTGGAGGGATGGGTGGATGCATGGAGGGAGGGAGGGATGGCTAAAAAGGAAACAAAAAAATCCTAGACAAAAATACTCAAAACAATAACTTATCAAGAACACCCCGACCAACACTGACAGGGCAAGTCGCTGGGTATAAATAGAGAACCAACTTCCAGCACTGAGAAGGTTACCTAGTTGGGTAATGAAACGTCTGCAAGAAAACAATCAAGGACCCCACAGTCGTCCTCCTCGTCCTCCTCGTCCTCGTCCTCCTTGCACTGGTGCTGTTATCTAGTTGGGTAATGAAACGTCTGCAAGAAAACAATCAAGGACCCCACAGTTCTCCTCCTCCTCCTCCTTTCCACACCCACCCTTCCTTCTAGCCCTAGTGATGTTACCTAGTTGGGTCATGAATCGTCTGCAAGGAAACCACCAAGGTCAGAGAGCACCAGGGACCCCTCAGATATTCAGCCCTACAGATATTCTTCTCTATTTGATGACATGGCTGTACTCACCCTCTCCACTTCCCTGGGAAGCATCCCCACAACCCAGGGAGCTGAATGACACCCCATCGTTCCCGCCCAATCCCACCTCAGCAAAGATATCAAGCTGCAGATGTTTGAGTTCAACCTCCTTAGAAGAAGCCCCAGATCTTGATGCCTGCTGGGTCCTGAAATTACCCACAGAAAACAGGCTGGGCCCTGGTTTGCAAACCGTCATTTCCGGCAGAACCACAGCCTAGCAAACTGGTTCCTTCCTTCCTCTTCTCTCTCTCTCTTTCTCTCTCTCTCCCTTCCTTTCTCTTCTTTCTTTCTTTCCTTCTTTCTCTTTTTCTCTCTCCCTTCCTTCCTTCCCTTCTCTTTTTCTTTTTTTCTCTCTCTCTCTTCCTTCCTCTTCTTTCTTTCTTTCTTTCTTTCTTTCTTTCTTTCTTTCTTTCTTTCTTTTTCTTTCTCTCTCTCTCTCTCTCTCTCTCCCTCCCTCCCTCCCTTTCCTCTCTCCCTCCCTCTCTCTCTTTGCTTTCCTACTTGAATACAAAATACACATGAAAATAAAGGCAATAGGAAAGTTAGAGAAAAGAAGGTGGGGACAGAGATGTGAAGTAAAGGGAAAATTGAAACAAAGCAGTGCTGTCCTGCATTTTTTTTCAGCGTCGCAAAATCCAGAGCAAAGTTACAATCTCAGCTGTATTAATTTCACCTAAAAAAGATCAGCCGCTTTCCAGATCAAACCACTGGTTCAAATCTAAAGTCAACATTTCATCGACCTTTGTTTTGAGCACAGAGGCCAAAGTCTGGAATGAATTTCCCAAAGATCAACACAACTAGTTAAACTTTCTTTTCCTGGCCACCTCTGCCAGCTCCATCACTTCTCCCAGGATGGGAATTGAAATAATAGAAATGAGTTATTATTTGCCCAAAGGCGTGTGCCCCCCCCCCCGTGTGTGTGTGTGTGTGTGTGTGTGTGTGAAGAACTCACTTCCGAGCCAGGAAAGAGAAAGAAGCTTCTGCTGCTGCTTCTATGCAAGACCAACTTCCTACTTTGGGCTGACTTTTTTTCACCCAACTGGGAGGAAAGACAGAGAACTAGGAGGAGCAAAGATTTGGTGATTTCCGCCTCCTGCTATCCAGACCCAGCTCAACCCTGGCAGTGAGGCCTCAGCCCCAGGTAAGTCTTCGTGGGCAACCCCCTCGCAGAGACACTCAACCCTCTTTCCAAAATCAGTTGGGGTGGAGCAGAAGAGCAACTAAGATGATCCAAGGCCTGCAGACTGAAACTGGAGGCTAGAACATATGAGGAACAGTTGCTGGAATTGGGTCTGTCTAGTTTAATGAAGAGAAGGACGAGGGGGGGGGGGACAGGATAGTAGGGTTCCAGTATCTCAGGGGCTGCCCCAAAAAAGAGGGAGTCAAGCTATTCTCCAAAGCCCCTGAAGGCAGGACAAGAAGCAACGGATGGAAACTAACCAAGGAGAGAAGCAACCTGGAACTAAGGAGAAACTTCCTGACAATTAGAACAATTAATCAGC